GGCCCACGAAGAGGGAGCCTGAAGGGAGGGTGGATCCCAACATCGTTGATGAGTCTTGGGTTTGCACTGGTCCTCCTCCTCCTTCTCCTCCTCCTCCTCCTCTTCGAGTCCTTCCTTATCCTCCTCCTCCTCCTCCCCCCCTCCTCGGGGAGGGGGGGAGGAGGGGCGGAGGGGAGGAGGCAGCCCCCGCCGCCTCGGGGTTGCAGGACACGTACAGCAGGTGGTCGTAGCCCTTCACCGCCTCGCGGGTGACGCGGTCCAGGCCGGCGCGCGGCGGGTCCTCTCGAGCCGCGGAGATGGGGCGACCGGCGATCGGCTGCGCCGGAGGGAGTGGACGGCGAGGAGGAGGAAGGAGGAGGAGAAGGAGGAGGAGGAGGAGGAGGAGGAGGAGGAGGAGGAGGAGGAGGAGGAGTAGGAGGAGGGAGGAGGAGGAGGAGGAGATGGAGGAGGAGGGGGGGCCCCGCTCGTGCTGGAGGGGAGGTGTGGGGGGGGGGTTATGCAGAGGGGCGGCCCTACCCAGACCAAGGAGGAAAAGACAATCCAGGCTTGGCCGGGGCCCTTCCTCGAGGAGGGAATCCCCAGCCAGTTCTGGGGAACTCCTTCCTGTTGGGTCTAGGGGGGGGTCCCTGTCCTCTTCCTAGATAGGGAGCTCCCTCCATTTCGGTCCGGGTAGGGTCTGGGAGGAGCTTTTGCTTAGCGTGTCGCGGCGGTGGCCCCTGCGCCTTGCGATCCGACAGCGATAGCCGCCCTGCACGTTGACGCCTGGGCACTAACCGTTAGCACCCCTGAGGGACTCCCCCCCCATTGTCATTGCTGGCCGCGAGAACCTAGTTCCGGCAGGTTCGCGTCGTGTCGACCCCGGCGCTGGTTCCCGACACCGCGCGGATCGTGCAGCCTTGAACGATCGGCGGCTCTTCGATCGCCCGATCGTTCCGCATGGGCCGATTCTGGGCCGCTGGCGGCGTTCAGCCTGGAGCGCCCGCGGCGGGGTCGCCGCCTGTCGACACGGCGCGATCCTGCCGCAACTCTGGAGGAGGGGGGCTCCGGTGAAACGGCGCCCCAGTGATAAGTTCGCACGACAAGCGAATGCACGAATTCCCGCGGGGGGGAGCGCGGGCCTGCCTCGTGGCCTGCCGCGGCGGGGTCGCCGCCGGTCGACACGGCGCGAACCTACCGTAATTCTGGAGGGGGGGCGGTCCGCCGAAACAACGCCCCACTGATACGGTGATGGCATTGGATGAGGACACCTGCAATATAAGGACTCCAGGGTCTGGAAGCCAGCGGAACTTCAATCGTGGATCGGCCATGGATATCGACGCCGCCCCCACTGGGTAAGGCATCCTCCAGGGTCTGGCGCCTCCTGGGACTGTTCCTTGACGAACGCCTCCGCTGCATGCTGGCACGACAAGCGAGTGCGCGAATTTCCGCGGGGGGCAGCGCGGGCCTGCCTCGTGGCCCTGGGAGGGCCCCACGGCACACTCCTGGTCGCACTCCTGGTCCTCCTCCTCCCCCTCCTTTCCAGCTCGCGCTCCTCAGCCCGCTCATCCTGCTTGTCCTCCGCTTCTTCCTCCTCCCCAAAACATAGAACGGCACATATGTTCAGATATTGTTTGGGGGCGGGAACGGGGAAGAGAAAGAGGAGAGAGACGGAGGAGGAGGAGGAGGAGGAGGAGGAGGAGGAGATGGAGGAGGAGGAGGAGGAGGAAGAGGAGAAGGAGCAGGAGGAGAAGGAGGAGGAGAGAGAGACAGAAGGAGTCGTAGGAGGAGAAGAAGGAGAAGGAAGAGGAGGAGGAGGAAGAGGAGGAAGGATGCGAACACCTGACGAAAGCCATGCGAAAACACAATCCAAAAGGCGAGGGGCGCCACAGTCCCCCATTCTCTCTTCCTCCTCCTCCTCCTCCTCCGCCTCCTCCTCCTCCTCCTCCGCCTCCTCCTCCACTTTTGTCCCACGTTTTATGTTCCTTGTCGTGCTTGTCGTCGCCACATAGTTGCGCAGGCATAGTTGCGCGAGACTTTCTGCTATCTGAGTTGCGCGGATGCACGACGCGGTCGGCCCAGCATTGCTGGGCGAAGCCTTCGGAAAGCAACACATCTCGCAAACGTTCATGTAAACAATCGTCGTTCGTGCAGAACGGGCTAGACACGTCCCAGGTAGTTTCACAGAGCCAACAACAATCATACCCGCATCCTCATACAGTGCTCATTTCCACAGCAGAGATATGCTGCAGCGTGATACGGGTCCTTCATGCGGGAAACTGGAGGGGTATGGGAGATCCTGCAAGAATTTGGAGGAACGCAGGCCCACATCATGATGGACCCTCAGGGAGTACAGGCCTCCCTAAGCAAAGACGATTGCACATGTGCGCGGGTTCCTCCTTCAAATCCTCCTTCTTCTAAAAGCTCCCTCCTCCTCCTCCGCCTCCTCCTCCTTCTCGCCTCCTCCTCCTCCCACTCCTCCTCCTCCTTCTACCTCTCCTGCCTTCCACCTCCTCCACTTCCTCCTCCGCCTCCTGCTCCTCCTCCTCCTCCTCTCTCCTCCTCCTCCTCCTTCCTCTTCCGCCCCCTCCTCTCCATCTCCTCGAGGTCCTTCTCCGAGGTCCTTCTCATCGTTAATTACCGTCCTCATCCTCGTCATATGCCTTGGTGCACAGTCCTCCTCGCCTTTCCCTCCTCGCAATCATCGTCGTGGTGGACGCCGTCGTCGTCGTCCCTCCTCCTCTCCTCGTCCTCCCCTCTCCTCCTCCTCCACCACAAAGGGGGCGGGGATGGCAAGCTGTCCAGCACAGTGCACCCGTAGCGTCAAACTGCATCTTGACGCTGCCGTCGGCTGCGCAGCTCGTAGCCCCTCCGGCGGCACCACCCCCTGCCGACCCTGGGCGGAGAGGGAAGAGGTAAAGAACGGGATGGAAGGTCGAGAGAGAGATGGGGGAGGGGAGGGATTATGGGAGGGGAGGGAGGAGAGGGAGGATTCGGAAGAGAGGGAGGGCGGGAAGGAGACAGGGAAAGGGAGGGCCGAGAGTGAGGACAGGCGCAGGGACTGGAGAGTGCGGCAAAGACGGGACGAGCGAAGTGACGACGGGTAGCGCAGGGAGATGATTCTAGGGGTTCTAGCACGGCCGCGATGTGGTGAACGGGCGGGCTCTTTTCTCACTCCACCTGTCGCCCTGGTGGCGCATTCGCTGGTCCCCTCCAGCGCCCAACTGGGGGGGGAGCGGCCGGGAAGGGGGAGGGGCGGCAGCGACGTGAGCGGAGGGACGGGTGAAGAAGGAGGGGGGGGGGCGGGAAGGCGCGAGGAGGGGGAGGCTGCTGGCGCTGCCGCCGAACTCGTGGCTGCGGCCGCGGGGGGCCGCTAGCACCCCGCTCCAGCTTCTGGGGGAAACGGAGGGTGAGGCAAGATTCCCCCACAGAGGCAGGGGGCAGGGAGGGAATAAGGAGAAGGAATGCACGCGGCCGTACAGAGGAGGAGGAGGAGGAGGAGGAGGAGGAGGAGGAGGAGGAGGAGAAGGAGGAGGAGGAGGAGGAGGAGGAGGAGGAGGGGGTGGAAGAGTAGGTGTAGGTGTAGGTGGAGGAGGAGAGGAAGAAACAAAGCAGAACAAGGATAGGTATGGTACGGAAGAACCGGGCCTGCTCGGATCGGCATCGCACAGGCCTCCTTGCCGGAGGCAGCCCGCCGCTGCGAGGGGCAACGACGAGGGGGCCTTGCGTGCTCAGGAGGGGGGACATGGACGTGGAGTCGACGACACCTCGCCGACACATCGGCCGTGGGCTCTCGACAGCGGCGCCTCACCCCTCCTGGGGGCGGGGGACGGCGAGGCCCCTGGGCCGGTCGGCGACGGAGCGGGGCCACTGGGGGTCCACGCGCCCCCGCTCCCCCGAGACCCTCTCCCCCCGTCGCTGCCCCCGACGCTGGCGGTGCCGCCTCCCCTCCCCCGAGTGTTTTTCCCCAATCAGTGCTTGCACTGAAGGGGTCCTTAGCGGAAGTGGCAAGATCTGGCGAAAATGTCCCGCCTATTTTGGTAGCAAGCTGGCTTCCCGGGTTCTCGGTTCTGGCTTCCCCGGTACCCCGTTATTGGTTCCGGGCCGATTTCGGTGGGTTCTGGGTTCCCGGGCTCCCGGGTTCCCGGCCGATCTCCCCAGCGAAAACCATCCACTGATTGGGGCTTGTCTCTGGTGTTTCTGTTCCTTTCCGTCCCCCATGGGCGGCTCGCTACCTCTGCCCCCTCTTTCGGCCGCGTCCTCCTCCTGCTCCCCCTCCTGCATGGTGGCACAACTTGCCCTAACGGCACCCCCGGTAAGGCCTTTCCACCAGCGCAGACTTCCCCTGCCTCGCCGCCGACGCAGAAAGTTGTTGCTCCTCCCAGCCACGGGCAGAGCTGAACGGCTTCACGCAGGGCCTTCTTGTTGGCCACCTGGCGCCTGGCAAGCCTCGACGTTCCAGGGGGCAGTCCTTCTTGCTGCACTCTGGCCAACTGATCCTTGCCGTGATGATTCAATCGCTGGTTGCGAACAGTCGCTGAATTATGGGCGGCCGAGTGGCGGAGGGATGAGGGGAAGGACACGCGCATGCAGACGCCCCCGTGCCCTCCTGCAGAACTCCTCCGAGGGCGCACGCACCACGGTGACGTTCTCCAGGCCGTTCGCGGCCGTGTTGTACTTCGCGCCCTCCACGAGATGCCTGGCGTGAACGGCCATCGAAAGGACGCACGGCCGGAGCCCCTCAGTGGAGGAGGTGTCTGAAAAAGCCTGCCCAGCCCCGGTGTGCACACGCCTTTCCACGCGTGAGCACATGCATGCCCTGCAGCTGCGTGGGACTTCCAGGCCACAAGCGGAGCCTGCAGGGATCACAAAACACAGGGCCCGCATGCCCCTCGCAGGGTATCCGCTGAAGGAAGCACACACACGGCGGCGGCAGTGGGGGCCGCGTCGGCGGGGGCGCCCCAGCCCGCCCCGGCATCGCCGGCGATCGAGCGACAGGACGACTAGACAGGGCACCGCATGGCAGGGCAAGACGGGCGAGGCCCGACAAAGCGCGGCATGACCGGCCAAGACGACAGGACACAACAATGCAGGACATGCGTTTTTCCACAACTACAGTTAGGTCGGGCATGTCCTTCTACAGACGGATTCGGGAAGAAAAATAAAAAATATCCAGATATAATCAAAAGTCATCAAAAATAGTAGAAAATCGTCTCCAGACTATTGTTGGACTATTTTAGGAGATTCCTCCTGTAGAGGGACATGCCCGACTTAAAACTACAGTTCTGACAGCATAATATGTTTTCCATCTCGCGGTCTGGGGGGAGGGAAGGTGCGAGCGGACACCACGCTGACTGACAAATGCAAAACGCTGAACCAAACGTGACTCTCGAAACGTGCAGCCGTGGACGCGGCCTGGCTGAGAAGGAAGGAATCGAGAGAGGAGGAGCAGGAGAAGCGGGAAGCGAAAGACAGAAGATCGACAAACAAACCAGGAATGACTCCAGGGCCAACCCGCCACGGAGGCGACCTCGAGCGACGAACCGTGGCCTGGCAGGCAAAAGGCAGGCGGAATCGTGCCCATGTGACCCCCGAGGACAGAACGGCCAGCGGAACACCGCACGAAGAGTGGATCGAAAGCGCATTCAAAGCAACACCCGGAGGGGGGGAAGGAGAGAACGAGAGAGAGATTAAGCATAAGAAAAGAGGAGGGCGAAGGCAACGAGGAGGCGCAAGCAGCGCGCACGGCTGTGCGCACGATGCGCAGCATGTTACAAGACAAAGCCATGCAGCGCGCGGCAGGGCAAGCCAAGGCAATCCTCGACACGACACAGCACCGCACGGCACGAAACGACACGGCATGAGACAGGACTAGCAGACGAGACACAAAGCAAGACGCAACCGCCGCAACCCCTCCTGCCCCGACGAAACAGTGCGGGCGTGGCCGCAAGAACCCCCTACAAGAAATCCAACCCTGAAAACCCGCGCGCGAGGTGCACCCGAAGGGAATCCCGGAGAACCCCGAACGCAGCAGGTGCTTCCACCAGCCGCGGGAGGGCACCGCGCAGCACGCGGAGCGACGAAACCCAGGACGCCCTGACGAAACGCATGTGGCTTCTTGATGCGCGCCCCCACTGCATTAGAAGAGAACAAAAAACGGCATAAGCATAAACTTTTGGCGCTCCGCGCGTATTTCTTGGATCTGCGCTGGACGCCCTCCCTGGCGCGTGAAGCGCGTCAGGGGCGGCGCCACAGCCGCCGCCGGGTGGGTACAGCGCGGATCCGAGAAATCCGCACGGAGCGCCAAAAATTGATGTTCGTGGCGTTTGTTTTTCTTGGGTGTATGCTCGACACCCCCGTTCCCCGCCCAGGCGAGCCCAGAATCGAATCCATAAGCAGGATCGGCGATCGAGGTGAATCGGATCGGCAGAAGTCGGCGGCCGAGCCGGCGGAAAAATCGGCAGGCTGGTGAGCCTCCCCTGAGACATCAGGATCCCCCTCGGAATCCAAGGCTGGATCGAATCGGAAGCGGAAGCCATCGAAATCGAATCGGGTCGAGGCGAATCGGAGCCCCGTCCCCGCCTGTTGATCTCCACCGCCAGCACGTGGCGGAAGGCGGGCGCGAGCGCCACCGTGTGGCTGCCGGCCCCGCAGTACAGCTCCAGGAGGTCGGTGCCCGTCTCCGCGCCGCAGTTCACCGACGGGGAGCCACCTCCTCCTCCGCCTCCTCCTCCACGCCTCCCCCTCCTCCTCCTCCTGCTCCTCCTCCTCCTCCTCCTCCTCTTCCTCCTCCTCCTCCTGCTCCTCCTCCTCCTCCTCGCCCATTCCTTCTCCTTATAGATAACTCCTCCCTGTCGCACCCCGAGACCAGTTTCTAGGGCGGGCCGGGCGTTTCGCCTGAGAGTTCCTCACCATTTACGACTGTGAAGCTTAAAAAGTGACAACAGTTTAACACATGGAGGGCGGGTTGTTTTCAAAATATGGCTCTCGCCTTAGCGCCGCGCACATTCACATTAAAACTTTGCAAGAGCTTCACATATTAAGAGCGGGCCGTTTTCAAAATATGGCTCTCGCCTTAGCGCCGCGCACACTCGTTTTAAACATTTACAAGACTTTCACAAATCCAGGGCGGGTCGTTCTCAAAATGTGGCTCTCGCCGGAGCGCCGCGCGCATTCTTCTGAACAATTTGCAAGAACTTCACGGATTTGAGGGCGGGCCGTTTTCAATATGTGGCTCTCGCCTGAGCGCCGCGCTTATTCGTTTAAACAAGTTGCACGAACTTCGCGGATTGAGAGCAGCTCCCTTTCAAAATGTGGCTCTCGCCTCAGCGCCGCGCCCATTCGTTTTAAACATTTGCAAGAGCTTCACGTATTGAGGGCGGGTCGTTTTCAAAATGTGGCTCTCGCCTAAGCGCTGCGCGCATTCGTTTTCAACATGTGCAAGGGTGTTGAGGATTCCCATGGACAACGTACCAGAAACGGCATTTTGGAAGGAGTCCGGATTTTGCGGGCGCAGCAGTTATGTTGATTCGCGGTGTTGAAGTCCCAAAAATGGCGTTCTGGCATGATTCCGGATCATCAAGGCGCAGCAGTCAGGTTGATACGTGGCGTTGAAATCCAGAGAACAATGTTCTGGCATGCTTCATAATCTTCAAACTGTTGTCTTCCAGCGATGCAGCTCCCACAATGGAAATGGAAATCAACCGTTGTGGGGGCCTATGCAGAGGGAGATTGAAGGGAGGATTAATTCAAACATGTTGATGACTCTTGGTTTTACACTGGTCCTCCTCCTCCTCCTCCTCCTCCTCCTCCTGGGCACGACATTGACCAGAACAGAGTCTGCCATGGCCAACTCTTATTACCTACAAACTAAAATCAGCCTGCGATCGGTGCAGAGGCTCGCACACGGAGTACCGTATTCAAGCCGACGTGTCGGTACTCACCGCGAGCGAGCCGATCCCAGATCTTCGTGGCCCAGGCCGATCGTTTGGGAACGCAGGGACGAGCAAGGGAGCCAATCCGATCAGAAACGATCGCCTGACATGCAGTGCACGCGATGAGAGTAACATCATCATCGGGAGAAAACCGAACGAGTGCATGGGCGCGCGCGCCCGCCTGGTGGAAGCCGCCGTTCTGAGCGATGATCCGCTCGAGGAGAGAAGGCGGGGCATCCTGCACAATCTGAAGGGCGGGTTGGGGAGGGCGACCTCTCTTCGCCTGCGAGGGGTGGAACGTGTCGTCGCCCTCCCCAACAGCCCCGACCCAAGGAAGCCAGACCTTGAGGACCTTGGCTCTCCTCTTGAGAAGGTCTCGCTGGGCCTGCGACAGCCTACCAGCTTGCGCAGCCCACCGAGCGAACATATCGGCAATCTTGTTGCCAGCATTCAGACGAGGCGTCGTGAGACCCTGGGCCCAGTCCCTGGGAGTCGGGTGCGATTTTATCTTCGCGACCAACCGCGAAAGGTCATCTTCGCCACGGTCGTCCAGGAGACGCCAAACTTCGGTCCAGAGAAGGGCGTGCGGGGACAGACAATGGCAGCATGCATCTCTACCTCTGATACAAACACCTCGCCACACGAAATCGCTATCTGTGTGGATGACAGACCCAGGCAAGGCATGCCTGAGCGCAAAACAGAACGCTGTGAGCTCAGCCTCGTTTATTGTCGGCAGAATTCCGAGGAGAGGCCCACACGCAATGGCAAGAGGCGTACGAGATCGACGAGCATCAAGAGTGGGAGGGGAAAGAGCAACAACGGCCCAGCCCGCAGAAGCAAGGTCTGGCAGCTCACCCTCGAAAACCGATCCGTCAATGAAAACGTCGCCTCCTAATTCGTTGGAAGATCCCAAGTACCAGAACTCTGGCGGCACTTGGGTGATATCTGGCTTAGTGAGCTCAGGCCTGGGAACAAGACACCGCTCAGCCATCACGAGAGCCAACGGGGATCCCACAGAGGCCTCCGCGAACCCAGAGAGAAAAGAGGGCGGTTCCTTTCCCACAACTTCAGGCTCGGCACAGGCGCAAGAAGTGTGGCGATGGAGGAGGGTGCCTGCCGTCTCAAGCTCACGAGTCTGCAAGCACACGCGGCAGTACGGGTCCACGTCGTAGCCCGATTGCCATTGTCTCTGCATGGGCCACTGACCACCGACGAAACACGATCGAACATAAGCCCGATGTTGAGCAGGAGCACCAGATCGCAGATAACTCACAACCGGTTGCAAGATGATGCCGCGCTCGAACTCGGGCAAGTTGAGATGTTCAGACACCTGCTTGCACTGCCATTTGAAACACAACCAGTGGAGAACACGCTGAACTGTACTGATGCAGACCGTCGTCGGATTGAACGCAGCTCCGTCAGGCAGAGTCCATTCAGACATGGAAGTCACTCGCACTCCGATCCTCCACAGCGTGGCCCAAGCAGCAGAAAACGGACCTCGAATGGCGACCCACGGCGTGTTCAGCGTGGCGAGGTGGTCGGCAGTTGCTTTCATGGCAGTGGCTCCTCCTCCTCCTCCTCCTCCTCCTCCTCCTCCTCATCATATCACTCCTCCTCCTCCTCCTCCGCCGCCTCCTCCTCTTCCTACAATCCACTCGTATAAGAAAGACGCACGGCCAGGATGCAGGGGCCTGTGAAGGGCCACGGCGACACTCTGCGGGCGGGGTGCGGTCAGCGAGAGCGGCCAAGGACAAGGGCCGAGGGTGCAGGCTGCAGGGGTGACCTGGGAAAGGCGCTCCGTCCTCACCGTGTGCGGGTGGGCTGCACCGCCAGGCCCTCACAAGCCACTTTTGGGCCGATTCCCGCGGGGTGGTGTCCCGAAATGCGGCTGTGCCGCTCTCGCCTCCGCCGCCCTGGGCTGGCGGGGCCCGGCTCCGCTTGGCAGCCGCACCGTGCTGCCATCAGGTCGGGCGTGTCCCCCTACAGGCGGATTCTGGATGGATGTGTTCTTAATGATTTCTCATAATATTTTAAAAATTCAAACACCGCCCTACCCAGCGGTGGACAAACCTCCCTTTAGTAAACCACCCTTTGGTGAAAACGGCCTGGGACCGAAACCGACGGACCTGGACCCGCAAGAATGACGGCCGCGACGCCCCCTCGCGAACCGAAAACGGCTAATTCGCCAATCGACGTGTCAGGGCAGGATGTCTATCAACCTCCGACAAACATACTCAAAAGATAGTCCCCTTCCCTTTGTTTGACAATGTGTGAACATTCCTCCTGTGGAGGGACACGCACGACTTACTGCCGCCGTGGGGAGCGCTGCACCAGGAACGACAAACAACATTCAACTGGTGCTCAATCATAACCAAACATACCCAAACAAGTCGTCCCCGGACGGCTTTTCTTTCGCTCCTATATACAATAGTACTTATACTACTATAAGAACTGCTATTAGCTGTATTATGGTTGTTCGTATCATCAGTCGTATTATAACTAGTATTCAAATTGTTCGTACAAAATGTATCTGTTATATGTGTATGTATATATATGTGGATTCGAATCTCCCTCCTGTGGAGGGGGCACGTCCGACTTACTGCTGCCGCGGGAAGCGCTGCACCAGGGGAACGACAGAAAAAGAGGGCGGCTTCTGGCCACGGCCGGCCTCGGCCACGAGCAGGCGCCCCGACGCGGGTCTCGGGAGCGGCCCGGCCACAGGGGCCCCTCCAGAACGCCTCCCTCCTCCCTCCTCCCTCCTCCCTCCTCCCTCCCTCCTCCCTCCTCCCTCCTCCTCCTCTCCTCCCCTCCTCCCCCTCCTCCCTCCTCCTCCCTCCTCCTCCTCCTCCCTCCTCCCATCCCTCCTCCCTCCTCCTCCTCCTCCTCCCCCTCCCTCCCTCCCTCCTCTCTCCTCCTCCTCCTCCTCCTCCTCCTCCTCCTCCTCCTCCTCCTCCTCATCATCATCATCATCATCATCATCATCATCATCCTTTTCTTCCTCCTCCTCCCTCCTCCTCCCTCCTCCCTCCTGAACTCCTCCCCCCTCCCCTCTGAACTCCTCCCTCCTCCCTCCTCCCTCCTCGCAGACGACGACCATGACTTGGCGGCTGCGCTCCCTCTCCCAAGACGAGGGGGATAGAATTCGAGAGCGCAGAGTAAGAAGAGGACAAGGACGAGGAGGATGAGAAAACGTAGGAAACGGAGGAGGAGGAGGAGGAGGAGGAGGAGGAGGAGGAGCAGGAGCAGGAGGAGGAGCAGGAGGAGGAGGAGGAGGAGGAGGAGGAGGAGGAGGAGGACAGGCCCACTCCCCAGAGGAGGATTCTTATGGCCTGCCCCAGCTAAAGCTGCTGCATCGAGAAGCAGGACGCGGGGGGGGGGGGCAGCTGGGTGGCCCACAGCAGGGGTCTATGGACCGCTCTTGAACAGATTCTGACCAGGGGAAGGGGAGGGGCGAGGGGAAAGCTGTGAGAGAAGGGCACGAGGAGGGAGGCGGGGGGTCAGGGAGAGGGAGGGGGGGGTGAAGAGGGAAAAGAGGCCGGGGTAACGGGATGAAGGATGCGGACGGGGGGGAGAGGGGGGGCAGGGGGGAAGGAGGCAAGAATGGTGGGAGGGGGGGGGACGCGGGGCAGGGGCGGGCGGACTGCGGGAAGGAGGGGGGCGACGGGGGCAGGGAACGCAATGGGAGGAGGCGGGGCCGGGGGTGGGAGGGGGAGGACCTGGGGGGGGGGAGGGCAGAGGGGGCGCGGGCGGCAGGGGAGGAGGAGGGAGCAGGGCCGCGGGGCGGGCGCAGCAGCAGGAGGGGCGGGGGGCGGAGGGCGGCGCTGGCTGGCGGCTCGCCGACGTACGGATGACGTCCAGCAGCCACTCGGCGGTGGCCACCGCTATGTGCGGGTTCGGGTTGGAGAACCTGGGGAATGGGGGCGCCTTGTCGTCGGCCACGCCCTCCTCCTCCTCCTCCTCCTCCTCCTCGCCCTCCTCCTCCTCCACCACCTCCTCCTCGCCTCCCCTCCTCCTCCTCCTCATCCTCCTCCTCTTCCTCCTCCTCCTCCTCCTCCTCCCTCCCCTCCTCCTCCGCTCCTCCCCCTCCCTCTCCTTCTCCTCCCTCCTCCTTCTCCTCCTCCTCCTGTTTCTCCTCCTCCCCACCTCTCCTCCTGTTCCTCCTCCTCCTCCTCCTCCTCCTCCTCCTCATCCTCATCCTCATCATCATCATCACATCATCATCATCATCATCATCATCATCATCATCATCATCATCATCATCATCATCATCATCAACATCATCACCATCATCATCATCATCATCATCATCGTCATCATCATCATCATCAGCATCACCACCACCACCATCATCATCATCATCAACAACAGCAACTTCATCATCATCACCGCCGCCGCCACCACCAGCATCACCATCACCATCATCATCAGCAGCATCAGCATCATCATCACACTTCTCCTCCTCCTCCTCCTCCTCGTCAGCAAAATCATCCTCGTCATCATCATCAACATCGTCATCCTCATCATCAGCAGCAGCAGTAGCAGCATCATCATGTTCATCAACGTCATCGTCAGCGTCATCATCACCATCCTCCTCCTCCTCATCATCATCATCGTTGTCATCCTCATCATCATCGTCGTCACCATCACCATGATCAGGATGTAATCAACATCATCATCATCACCACCACCACCACCATCATCATCACCATCATCACCACCATGACAGATGAGCACCAGCACCATCGTCGTCATGATCATCATCGTCATCATCATCAACATCATCATCGCCATCATTATCATCCGAATCCTGATCCTCGAAATCATCATCATTATCCTCATCATCATCCTCATCATCATCACCACCATCATCACAGTCATCTTCATCATCCCCATCACCCCCATCATCATGGACATCATTGGACATCATCATCCTCATAACCATCACCAGTACCGTGATCATAAACATCATCATCATCACCATGATCGTCATCGTTACCACCATCATAATCATAATACTCATCATCATGATTGCATCGTCATTATCACGACTGCCAATCTCATCATCCGATTCATTATCGCCACCACCACCCATCATTATCATCATCATCATCATCATCATTATCATCATCATCAACATCACCAGCAACATCATCAACACCATATTCATCAGCATCAGCATCATCATCATAATCAGCATCGTTATCATCGTTAGCACCATCGTTCTCATTATTAGTATAATTACGATCATCGTCATCATTATCACTACGATCGTTACCATCATTGTTAGCATTACCATCATTATCATTACGATCGTTACCATCCGTATCATTATCATTACGATCGTTATCAGCATCAATATCATCATCGTTGCAATCGTGATGCACATTACGATCATTAGCATCATCGTTATCATCGTCGTCATCCTCATCATCATCACAACCACCACCACCATGATCATCACCACCACCATCGTCATCAGCATAATCATCGTCATCGTCATCATCATCATCAGCAGCAGCATCATCATCATTACCATCATCATCATCATCGTCATCATCATCATCATCATCGTCATCATCATCATCGTCATCATCATCATTATCATCATCATCATCATCATCAGCAGCAGCAGCAGCATCATCATCATCATCATCATCATCATCATCATCATCATCATCATCATCATCATCATCATCGTCGTCGCGCCGAAATCCTATTCATCCTCGTGCAGCGCGCGAGCATCGCCACTGTGCTCACGACGCCCAGGGACTGGGCCTGGTGCGCAAAGAGAGGTCCTTGCGCGATAGGGCTGGCCAGCGCACGGCCCGACGGTGGCGACGGCGCTCCGACGCAGCCACCCACGCACGGGCCAAAAGCTGGGCAGATGACATGGCGAGACCAGCACGCCGCGGCGACCAGTAGGCCCGCTGGCCGCGGAATGGTGGCTTCGGGACCCTCCTTCCCCTTCCCCCCTCCCCCTCCTCCCATTTCCCTCCTCCCCCCTCCCCTTCCCCTCCCCTCCCCACCTCCACAATTACTCAATATGAGTACTACTCTCCCTCTTCCCCTGATGGCGTCCTGGGAGTATTCGACCCCCCCCCCCCGCGTACTGTTTTTTACACACAGGTTTCCCCGGAGTTGGGTTTTCGCCTGCATTATTTTCCAAAATGCTGCTCTCGCAGAGGCGCCGGCCTCATTTTCGGACCCCGCTCGTTCCGAATCGTGCTCCCGCTGCAGCGCTGGCCGCATTTCCGTGCTTCCGCTCGTTCCGAATCGTGCTCCCGCTGCAACGCTGGCCTCATTTCCGCGCTTCCGCTCGTTTCGACTTATGCTCCCGCTGCAGCGCTGGCGTCATTTCCCGTGCCATGCCACGGCATGCAATGCATTGCTAGGTTGATGCTACGCTTTGCGGTGCTCTTCTACGCCATGCCATGCCGTGCTCTACAATGCACCCCGTACCCTTTCGGGATCATTGTCCTGCTCGACATCCGACTGTGCGAGTAGAGAGGGGATCTGCGCCATGGTAAGGGATGGGAGGGAGGGGTAGGATGTCAGATATGACGCGAGCGCACCTAGCTTGCCCTCCTCCCCTCCCCTCCTCCCCTCCCCCTCCTGCCATTCCTCGCCTCCCCCTCCCCCTCCCTTACCTCTTCACCCTCCCCTTCCCCTCCTCAACCTCCCCGCCTTCCTCCTTCCCCTCCTCCTCTCTCCCTCCTCCACTCCCATCGCGGTTGCTGCCCCCCCTTGCCACCTGGACGGCTGACCTTGGAACCCTTCACTCGGATCGCCCTTCCTCCTCCCCTCCCTCCTCTCGTCCCCTTCGTGCCCCTCCCACGCCCCGCCCGCGAGAACGAGCCGAAGGGCTGGCGGTATCTGACGACGCCCCGGCCGGCGATGTGGAGCTGCTCGTCGACAAAGTCCTCGGGCGAGAACCGCGGGGCGGGCGGGGCATCACCTGTCGCTCAGACCCAGGCGGCGTGAACAATTACGAGGGGCCGTGTTGCCCTGCTCCCGGCCACAGGGCGGCCCAGAGGGTGGCCGCAGGGGGACGGGGTCGAGAGCTTGGTCGCGATGCTTGGCGATGTCGCGCTGTTCTCCCGCCGTCGGATCTCGGCGTTTGCGCAGACACGGGGCGAATGTCCGATGTGTGAATGCGGACCCCGCTCCTCCTCTTCCTCCTGTCGCTGCTCCCGCTTCCCTGTGGAACCAGGGCCGGGCGCTAGACGCACAGTGGTGGCGAGATGTCTGACCACGCCTGGGACTTCGGCCATATGAGCCCCTGAAAGTGCTGCAAGCTTGTAACGCACACGTGCGATGCGCCGCTGAAGCGAGAGCCACATCTTTAAAACCACTCGCCCGCCATCCGCGAAACTTCCGCAACCTTAACAATTATCCCAGCAAGGCAACCGAACAGCCATGTGTATGAGCATATATGGAAGCATTCTTTTCTAGATTCATGTTCGGATTTGACTGGAAGCGAAACGCTGCGATCAATAGTGGACGTGTCTGCAAAGGAGGCACTACTATCAACGAGACAGCACATTCTTTTTGTGTTCATTCCAAACGAGACGCTGCTATGCAGGGGCGTAGGTGCAAACGAGACGCCGCCATCAATGGTTTCCGCCCCAAACGAGGCACGAGTATCAATGAATTTAATTTCGAACGATACTACTTACTACTACGGATGCGTCTAGAAAAGAGACGCTGCTATCAATAGTGGATGTCTCTGCAAAGGGAGCACTGCTATGAACGAGACAGCACATTGTTTTTGTGCTCATTCCAAACGAGACGCTGCTATCAATGGATGTCAGTCCAAACGAGACACTGCGATCAATGGATTCAGCCTCAAACGAAACGTGCTGAGGAGCACCGTATCTCACTATCCACGGCTGCGCACGAGTGCAGGTTGAGAAGCACCACGCGAATGCAGGCTGAGAAGAACCACGCGAATGCAGACGGCCAGGCTGAACAGCACCGCCACGAAGCAGGCTGCATCTCAGGGCTCCTCAAGCTCGCGCAGGCCAACCCAGCGCCTGTCGGGCCTTCGCGCAGGCGATTTTTGTCGTGGCAATCTCGTCTGCGAAGAATTCGTCGAAGGCCTTCGCGATCTGTTCTGGGGGGCCTGACTCGATGATGCTCCGGTCAGGCAAGCCGTGGCTCAAGAGCTGGCCGAAGCTCCGGGGCCGCGACAGGCTGACGTGGTAGGCCAGCCAAATGGACTCTTTCTTGAGTCCTGGCGGAAACTTCCGATGGCGCCGAGGTGGCTCCCGTGCGTACCTGCACCCACGGAACTCACCTCCGATGGCGCCGAGGTGGCTCCCGTGCGTACCTGCGCGCACGGAACGCTTCTCCGATGGCGCCGAGGTGGTTCCCGTGCGTACCTGGACGCACGGAACGCACCTCCGATGGCGCCGAAAGGCTCCCGTGCGTACCTGCACGCGCGGAACGCACCTCCGATGGCGCCGAGGTGGCTCCCGTGCGTGCCTGCACGCACGGAACGCACCTCCGATGGCGCCGAGGTGGCTCCCGTGCGTACCTGCACGCACGGAATGAGCTCCGCCGGATTCTCCCGGTTTCTGCCGGCTTCCGCCCGGACCCCCCTGGAGTGTCATGCTGCTCTCTTTTGACCCTACTAGAAACCTATCAGCACAAGCTGTTAGGTAAAAAACGAATGGGCGCGGTGCTGATGCGAGAACCCTCAGGTTGGGAACGAACCGCCCTCCGTCCGCGAAGCCGCAGCCTGACAGCCTGACAGGGCCCGCAACACGTCCGTGACGCTGCTGCAAGCTCTTGAGACGAATTGTGCGCTGCGCTGGAGCGAGAACCACAGTTTGAAAACTAGAGACCGTTTTTTTGAATCGGCGAAACCCAGGGTTATCCGGGGGGGGAGGGAGGAGGGGGCCGGCCGATGACCTAACCTTCGCGCTGTGGGCAGCCCTGCATATACCCGCGCACCCCCACCCTGGACCTGCACAACACAACACAACCGGCAAGGTCAGGTTATCCTGGGGGGAAGAGCGGGGGCAAGCCCGATAACCCGGGTTATCGCCGGACCCTGGAAAAAAAACAGTCTCCTACCCACCCTCCGTCCGTAAACTGCCGCAAAGGTCTATGAGGAACGTGCGCGGCGCCGAGGCGGAAGCCACGATCTGAAAACCACCCGCCCTCCGTCCGTCAAGCTGTCGCAAGCCGTTCAGGCGAATGTGCGCGGCGCGCGAGAGAAGAACATGTTGAACAGGGCCCGCCCTCTGTCCGCGAAGCTGCTGCAAGCTTCAAGCTTCAGGGGCATTCGCGGTGAGGAAGTCTCCAACGCAACGCCCGGCCCGCCCACGCGGAAACGTCTGGGGCCAACCACACGCAGGAGTGACCCGAGGCAAGAGTGTCCTTTGGTGCGCGGCTTTCGGGGAGCCGCGGGGGGGGGGGGGGCAAACACAGGCGCGCAAGACGCTACTATCGCATCGCGTTCGGCGATCGGGGGGGACCCCAGCGGGCCCGCACCAAAGGTCACTCCGGCGAACGGTCACTCTTACGTCTAATCGATGGGGGCGCGACAAGGAAAAGTTGCATGCAAGGAAGAGGGGTGGATGAGGAGGAGGAGGAGGAGGAGGAGGAGGACATTTCCCCGAAAAAGGCCGCAGCCCTGCGAGCGGCAGGCAGGAGGAAGGTCGCCCAGGGGAGGAGGAGGAGGAGGAGGAGGAGGAGGAGGAGGAGGAGGAGGAGGAGGAGGAGGAGGAAGAGGAGGAGGAGGAGGAGGAGGAGGAGAGAGGAGGAGGAGGGAGGAGGAGGAGGAGGAGGAGGAGGAGAAGGAGGAGAAGGAGGAGGAGCCCCTCTCCCCAAGGAGGGAGGGGGAAAGTGGTTGGGGGGAGTCCATCTTGTGTCCACCTCGTGCGGAGGATCGTCGCAGCTGGACTTCGAGATATGCTGCTCCAGCAGCGCAGGGGGCAGGGGGACCGAGAGGGGGTGCAGGCGCGCTCTCCGTCCCAACGACGGACCACCTCATCATCCTGCGTCGTCCTTGGATTCGGGGGCGCGCAAACGTGGGTCAGCGATCCGTGGATCTGGCGCGCGGGGTCGCGAAGCCGTGGATCGGGGGAGGCGCCCTCCCCCAAACCTGCGGCCGGGTGCCGCCTCGTCTCTGGGGGCGGAGCTCCGGCACTTCCCACGGAAGCGGGACCCGCCGCTGGTCCACGCGCCCCCTTTGCTCCGTGTTTGCGATCGCCTCCTCCTCCTCCTCCTCCTCCTCCTCCTCCTCCTCCTCCTCCCCCTCCCCCCTCCTCCTCCACCTCCCCTCCCTCTCCTCCTCTCCTCCTCCTTCCTCCTCCCAGCGTCGCTATCTGCTGGCCCCCCCCCCCGGGCCCCGAAGGGCAGGGCCCCGCGTGGAGCCCGATGCGCGGGCTCCGCAGGTGCGGGGCCCCCGCGGCCTCCGCAGGGCTCCCTCCGCTCCTCCTGCGCCGCAGAGCCGCGGGGCACGGGGAGGGACAGAGCGCGGGCCAGCGGGCAGCAAAAGACGCCTCCCCCCAGGGTTGGGGGGGCGGCGCCTCTCTCCTCGCTTCCTCTCCTCCCATCCTCCTCCTCCTCCTCCTCACCTCCTCCTCCTCCTCCTCCCTCCGCCTCCTCCTCCTCCTCCTCCCTCTCCCTCTTCCGCTCTCCCATCCCCTCCCTCTCTCCTCCCTCTCGCCTCCCTCCCTCTCTCCACTTCTCGCCTCCCTCTCTCCTCCCTCTCTCTGTTCCTCCCTCGGGTGTTCCCCCCAGGGCTTCCGCAAAGGCCGGGGGTGCACACACGGCAGGTCCGTGTCGTGTCGACCCCGGCGCTGGTTCCCGACATCGCGGGGATTGTTCAGCCTTGAATGATCGGCAGTTCCCGAAACATTAGGACCGTTCAGCATCGACCGATTCTGGGCCGCCGGCAGCGTTCAACGGTGAACGCCGGCGGCTGGGTCGTTGCCAGTCGACATGACGCGAACCTGCACACGTCGTTAATTTCTAATCGTGTTCATTTCTAATCTTGCTCGTTTCTAATTGTTCCTGGTCCCCTGGTGGCCAGGAAGAGGCCCAGGACAGAATCATTATAATGAAAATGATCTTGGACCCACCAAAAATCAAAGAACTCTCGAATTAAAAGAAATGAGCCATGTGTAGTCAAAAAATGCCCCACAGCCTGGTCAGGCGGTGGCCACAACGTTCGGCCACGCAGGCGTTTTTCCAGAAAGGCAGGGGCGGCGGTGACCCGCAGGCGTCCTCGACGGAAGGCGCCGCCGAGGCCAGAGGCGCGGTGAAGGACGAGGCGGCGGGTGCGAGGAGGGCCACCAGGGGCAAGGACAGAGGAGGGAGGAGGGAGGAGGGAGAACGGAGGAGGGAGGAGGAGGAAGGGGAGGAGGAGGAGGAGGAGGAGGAGGAGGAGGAGGAGGAGGAGGAGGAGGAGGAGAGGCCAGCGGACAGAGAGGCACAGCCCAACACCCGTCGTGAGGATGCAGGCCACATCAGCTCTGTCGCCTGCTCGCTCTTGCGCCGTGATGGAGGGGGCGAGACGGCTCACAGCCGCTTCGGGGCACCCTTCGGCCACCCGCGGCCTGCGTCTCCCAGCTGACAGACGGGGTGGAGCGGAGAAGGTGGACGGCGGGGGGGGGGCGGAGAGAGGGGGACAGCGCATTGCATCACCGACTCCAGGACTGTCGAAACACCAGGAACCTTCCATGACCGTGTCGACAGCCGTGCAAACCCAGCCCGTTCTCCTCCTCCTCCTCCTCCTCCTCCTTCTCGTCCTCCTTCTCTTCTTACTCCTTCTCCTCCTCCTCCTCCTCCTCCTCTTCCTCCTCCTCCTCCTCCTCCTCCTCCTCTTCTTCCTGCTCCTCCTTCTCCTGCTCCTCCTCCTCCTCCTCCTCCTCCTCCTCCAGAGGCGTCGCCCCCCACCCCGCCGAGG